AATTGAAAGAAAAAGGTGCCCTAAATCTGTCAGGCAGCAAAAAAGATAGTGACTGGTTTCAGGAGGAGAAAATGAGATAGTGTCTATATAGAGTTTGGCATTGTGCTCGGGTTTTGGTATGTACTCCATAAATAGTAGCTAAGAGTATGTCACTTTATATTGTTTGGTTTTTTAAGCTCCAGAATTCAGGAGCCTGGAGAAACTGGCCACTAATTGGTACAATAGCTTTTCCTTTAATTTGAGTCACCTTTGGTTTAGTCAGGAGCAGGTTTCATTGAGAGAGCCGGCCTGCCAGGCTGAGGCTCGAGCCAGACAAGCTTGTGGGCTGAAGCTGAGGCCTGGAGTGGGCTGGATCTGAGATCCAATCAGGGATCTATAGCTTACTTGCCACAGGTAACCTTGGGCAAGTTACTTAACCTCTCTGTACCCTAGCCTATTTGAGTGTAAAACAGGAATAATACTATTGTTTATTAAATCCAAGATGCTATTGATTATAAAATGCACCACTATTTTTTGTTCCTCCAAGAAAGAAAACAAATGCTACCAACTAAGTATGATGCCATGCTTATTTCAAATATGACCAAATGTAATAAAAGTACATCTTAAAATGGATTAAATACTGTAATGCGCTCTCTTCATAGGGTTATTGTTTGAGTGAAATGAGGTGTTGCTCATAAAGCTCTTGGTGAAGTGCCTGGTATGTAGTAAATTCTCTACAAATCAGCTTTGACCTAGAAACTCTTCCCTGATTATAGGATCTACATCCTCCAAGAATCTGGGGCCTTCTGAGGTTTGATATCAAGGAACCCCAGAGTTCTGACTTTGCTGACTATGGGCTCTTCCTTTGGATCCTTCTATCCTCTTCTTCTTCCCCTAAGTTTTCCTTAGGATAGCATTCCAGGGGTTGGGCTTTGATGGTGGGACTCTGACTATCTCTAGTTATAGCCAGCTCCAGGGGCTTGGGCAAGCAACAGAGAAAGAGTTAGAGGAAAACCAAGTCAGGCCTGTTTTTTCAGGTATTGAAAACAAGACTTGCAGCCCTCTTCTCGCTCTGCTTGAGAGCACATAAATTGGAATAACCTTTCTGGAGTGCAGTTGTGCACCTGCATTTTAGGATTAAAAATGTGCATATCCTTGCATTCCCAATTGTACATCCTGGAATTACTTGTGTCAAAAGAATCAAGGATGTGCACAAAGATTTAGGTATAAAGATATTTATCACAGTACCATTTAGGATGTTAACAAATTTAAAACAATTCAAATGAGAAACCACAAGGAAATAATAATTATGTTAATATAACAATGGTATATGCACCCATTAAAAATAATGCAGACTGCTTAATGACATGGTAGATGGTTCACAAAATATTGTTTAGTAATGAAAGAGATTGCAAAAAAATTTATAAAATATGATTCTTTTTACGTAAAATAGTTACACAGAAACTTATGTATAGGAAGAAAGATTCAAAGTTAATACATGAAGGCATTAACATTGACGTTCTCCAGGAGAAGGGATTATGGATGATTTTTATTTTTGTGTGATTTGGTTTTTTCGTTTGGCAGCTTTATAAAAATAATAATTAGATATAGAGTCACAATCAAATTTGCTTCCAAGGTGCCTTCCATGACTTATCTTCCACCCTCCCATACGTACTTTTTTCTTTTTTTACTACACGAAGGGTAGCATATCCTGCACATAGTTCCATACCTGGTTTCTTTTTGTTGCTGCTGCTGTTCATTTATGTAACTCTGTATCAGTACACAAAGAGCTTCTTCATTTTTTTTATGACTGCATGATATAATATTCCACTATATAGATGAACTGTACTCTGCTTTAATCATTTTTGTATTGATCAACATTTAGGTTGCTTCCTTTTTTTGCTAATGTAAAAACCATTGTCACAATCAAAAAGTTCACACAAAGCATTTTCTTCATATGTGAGATTGTGAACAGGTTGCTTCTGTCGCCCCAGGCTGACATATGTTATCTGTGTTCAGGACCTCTCGGCAAGGTTGGTGAGTATCCAGTCCCAGAGGGACCAGTTCCTCCTCACCTTCAAGACCATGGAGGAAATCTGGAAGTTCTCCACCTACCTGAGTTTAGGTATGACATGGAGTGGGCAAGTAGAGGAGGACCTACTGCACAGTTCAGCCAATTTGTAGGGCTTGACTTTAAAAAATTGGTCTGGTGATGAATAAGCTAACTATACTGATCTAACCACGACACATTCTACACAATTATTGAAAATCAACACTGTACCCTACATGTATGTACAATAAAAAAATTAAATTTTTTTAAAATTATAAAATATTTAGAAATTAAAAGAAAAGAAATAGAGTCCTAAAATGGATGGTTAATTTCTGAAATATCACAAACTACCTGAAACTAAATATAAAGCAAATATTAACTATTACATTAAAATGCCATGTGGAGGGGTTCTCTTCTTTGTGTTCAGGGAGAGCATTCTTTATTAGATAACCAATAAATTGGCAAACATTATTGGCCATCTACTAAATTCAAATTGCTGAGATAGATGTGAAGTCAATTTATTTTTAAAGGGAACTAGTCTTCAGTAAGATCAAAGGAGCTGCTCAAAGTACTAAGTAGAAAACTTCAGATACTTTATCCCATGTATTTGGAAAAGAGTCAAAGAAAGAGATGGGGGAATTATCTGCTAATAGCAGCCTCAGGCTGCAGGGTTTCCTAGATGTAAAGAAGAACATTGGGGCACAGTATCAGTAAGTACAACTGTGGTGTAAAATGGTTCACCTGACTTCTCCAGGGAGAACAACTTATGGTTGGGAGTTATTGGTACAAAGCCAAGCCAAGCCAAACCAAGCAAGAATTCACCTGACATGACACATATTTTATATCTCCAAGAAAATACTGGGCCTCATGCAGATGCACACAGGAAGAGATGTTGTGCAGAGGCGGAGGGTCAAGATAGCTTATGGCTAGAAAGTATAACTTCTCCTCTTTCAGTTTTGGTGATTTTCTGCTCTCCACACTACACATCTCCTGTGACCATTAGTGATCCTCACTGTTCAAACTGTGCACCGTGGACTAGCTCCATTCCAGCATCTTATAGGACCTGTTAGAAAAGTTGAGTCTCAGACCCCACCCCAAACCTACTCAATCAGTATCTTTATTTTAATAAGATATCCAGGTGATTTGTGTGCACATCAGAGTTCAGGAAGCACAATTATAGGAGATACGCAAAGCCAAAATCAGTACAACGGACAGTCAGGATGGAAGGAGACAGGTTTTTGCATCATAAGAAAGAGAGGAAACCCCCAAAGAAACAAAATTTTAATACAAATAATTCGTGTTTATAGGCTTGTTTAAAATGCT